TCGTGGTATTATTACTTTCCCAACAGTAAGATAAAACTTTTTTTGGGGGGTGGGGGAGCAGGTGGCATGGTGGTTAAGGCGCTAAACACTCCCACATGGTCAACCATGGTTCAAGTCCCGGATCTGGTGGCTTGCTTTCTTGCTTTCCTTCTCTCTGTGAGTCTATCATTATGTCTGTCATTCTCTGGTCAAGTGAAAATGATTGAGTGAATAAATAAAATTGAATAAATAATTCTTTTAAAAAAAATAGGATTTTTTAGACATTTTTATTTGTGGAGCCAGCAAGTGCAGAGTGGTTAAGGTGCTGGGATCCCCCACGGCTGACCTGGTTCAATTCCCAGACCTGGCAGCTTGCTTTCTCACTTGCCCGCAGGCTCTTTCTCTGGTAAAATTCATTTGGGGGAAAAAAATTATTAATTAAATAATTTTAAAGATTTATTCATTTGTTTATTATTGTAATTCACCAGAGACAGATAGAGAGTGAGAGAAAGAGGGAAGTGAGAAATCAAGCTACCAGGTCCAGGACTTGAACTGTGGTCAACCATGTGGGAGTCCAACACTTCAACCACTACACCACCTACTGGCCCCAAGATAAAACTTTTTTTTCAAAAGGCTGTTTAGTAGATTGTATGGACAAAATAATATTATTGCCATTCTCTCTTACAAATTGCTTTAAACAATGAAAGGTATTTTAAACTAAGAAAGAGGAAGGACATGAGAAGTGACATCAGTACTCACTATAGCAGAATAGACCACTGCTATACAAAGAAGGCAAAGCTGAATGATTTACTTTCATCCAATAAACTGCTAATGCCTGACCATTTCATCATTATGTGTGGACCCAAAATATCATCTTAAGAATGTAGAATATAATTTACCTCACATAGTCCTTCTTTGCCTACATTGAACTCACATGACTTGATATTCCAAGGGTCAGGCTCAGTAAAGCACATGAAAACAATCACGTAAAGATTAAACTTCTTGCAATATGAGACAAAGAGAATGCCAATGTGTTCTGCAGTGTTCAAACACTCACAAAACTCTGATAATAATATTCTTAACAGTAATTAAAATTGATCAAAATAAGTCAAGTATTTACCACATGTGAATCAGTGTGCAGTTTAGGAAACAAAGGTAAATAACAGGCTTTCTTTCTCTAAGATTCTTTTTCTAACCAAGTAACAGGTACACACACATAGACAGCTATGAGACAAAGGGCGATAAACATGAACAAAAGATTATAAGAATTCTGATGGAGAGAAGAAATAACCCTAGTGGGAATGAGAAAGGATTCATAAAGTTGTGATAAAATGAACCCTGAAGGAGGACAGTTTAAACTGGGGGTAGCACATAGGATCAAGACACACACACACAAAAATGAGACTAGAAGTATTCAAGGCTAGTTAATTTTGAGACACTGAGTTTACATAAAAGTTTTTAAAAGAAGAGAAGGCATATAAGAAAATTTCAGAGGACTGAGTAATGAGTAGATAGTATGAGAATAGAGCCAACAGACAGATCACTATTGGGACACTGAGAGAGAGAAGATCAAGACAGACCTAGGAGGGACAAGATAAGAAAGAGACTGAGCAGAGATACCGAAGAGTGATCGAAAACTGACACTGAAGAGAGCCTGGGAACTAGAGAGACAGGGAGAGGCTGAGAGACACCAAGAAGGAAAACTGAGAGAGAGAAAAAGGGGCAGAGAAATAAAGAGACCAAAGGACACTGTTACAGACTGAATGCTTACATCTCCCCAAAATTCTTATGTTAAAATGTCAGGCTCCCCAGGACCAGCATATAGAATAATGGTTACATCGCTGGACTCCCACATAGTTGACCCTGGTTCAAATCCTGGACCCAGTGGCTTAGAACTCATGCTGGATGTATGTACATGCGTGCCCAAAATCCCAAGAGGGGACTGGAGGAGAGGTGACTGTGGCATGGCCATGCCCCCTGGGAGGGTGATTTCTCGCTTTCTGTCTCTCTGTCTCCCTGGCAAGGACATGTGCCCTAGAGCAAAAATCTCTCAAAAAAATAATACATATTAGGCCCTCAATATAATGGTATTAGGAGGTGAGTACTTGGGAAGGTTAACTAGATCATAAGGGTGGGGTCCTCAGGAATGTGATTAGAGCCCTCATAAAAAGTTACCTCAGAGAACTCATCCTCTCCTTCCACCATGTGAAATTATGACATGAAGTCAGCCTACAGTGAGGGAGAAGGGACTTCATGGCCCGGGCACCACACAATGCTCAGAGTGCAAACTGGACTACCTCCTAATATCCTACCTCTCCAGCTCAACCTCCAGCTATATTGGGAGCAGAAATTCAGGCACACAGTAACCAAACACCTGAAGACAGTGATATTTTGGAAGAATTCTCTCCCCACAACTTCCCCCTCCAGCAGCAAAAGGAGAGAAATTCCTCTCTGAAAACCTAAACCCAGAACTCCCACCCACAGTGAGGAAGAAACTGGTACAGAGCTAACTTACACCACCAGAAGGACACGAGCACACAGCTACAGAAACACGCTCCAAAGAAGTAGGAAGAAGTGAGTGTATCATCAAATGTCTAAAAATCAAAGTAGTCTCAAGAAATAGGAGAAAACCAGGAAATACTTCCCCCACAAAGGAACACAGTAATTCCTCGTCAGCGCTGGATTAAAAAAAAAAAATTCTGACCACAGAAATGTCAGAAAAGTATTCAGAATAGTTATTGTAACAAAACACAATGAGATGCAAGAGGAAACAGATAATTCCAGAAAATCTTACCATGACTTGAAGGAGGAATTTCATAAAGAGATAGACACCCTGAAAAAGAATCAGAACTTCTGGAGAAAAAGAATACAATGCAGGAAATCAAAACCTCCCTCGAAAGTATTAACAGCACATTAGACCAGAAAAATGAATCTAACTTTGAAGACAAAAATTTATGATTTAATCCAAGCAATCAAAAAGAAGAGAATAATCATTAATGACAGGACAACATAGCAGGAAATCCTAGACACCATTAAATGATTGAATATCCAGCATAACAGGTATTCCAGAAAGCAAAGAGACAGGTAAAACCATAGAAAATCTCTATCAGGATGAATTAGCTGAAAACTTTTCAAATTTAGAGAGACAGACAAGCAAATCCAGGAAATACAAAGGATACCAAATATAAACAACACAAGAAGACCCTCTCTGGGAAGAGCAATTGGCATAATGGCTATGTCGCTGGACTCCCACGTAGTCAACTGTGGTTTGAGTCCCAGACATGGTGATTTAAACTCACGCCAGGCACACGTGTGTGCCCAGGATCCTGAGAGGAGAATGGAGGAGAAGGGACTGCAGCATGGCCATGGGCACAGGGGGGTTATTTCTCACTTTCTGTCTGTCTCTCTCTGCCTTTCTGGTGAGCGTGCACGCCCCGTAGAAAAAAGCTCTCCCCCCCCCAAAAAAGAAGATCCTCTTCAAGGTACATCATAGCCAAATTGATAAAAATCAAAGACAAAGATAATATTCTAAAAACGGAAAGAGAGAAATACTAAGTTACACACAAAGGTTATTCCATTAGACTAACACTGGACCTCTCAACTGAAATAATCCAGGTAAGAAAGAATAGGAAGACCTATGTAAAACTCTAAAAGAAAAACAATTTCGGGAACCAGCAGTTAGCGTAATGGCTATGTCGCTGGACTCCCATGTAGTTGACCGCAGTTCACGTCCCAGACCTGGTGGCTTGAAACTCACGCCGGGCGCGTGTACATGCGTGCCCAAGATCACAAGAAGAGAATAAAGGAGAAGGGATTGCGGCATGACCATCCCCTCTGGGGGGTGATTTCTCGCTTTCTGTCTGTCTCTCTCTGTCTGTCTGGCGAGCGCACGCGCCCTATACTGCCTCTCCAAAAGATTAAAAAAAAAAAGAACAAAAAAACAATTTCAGTCAAGAGTACTATACCTGGCAAGATTATCCTTCAAATGGGAAGGAGACATAAAATCATTCCCAGATGAACAAATGCTGAAAGAATTCATCAAAATTAAACTACCTCTTTGGGAAATACTAAACAGAACACTATACCAGGAAAACTAAAGGGAGAGAAATAGAAGCAAGAGAACATAATGCAGGGCTAGCTGATGGCACAGCAGTTATGTCGCTGGACGCCCACAAGGCCAAGCGTGGTTTGAGTCCCAGACAGGAGGCTTGAAAATCATGCCAAGCATGTGTGTGTGCATGCCCAAGATTCTGAGAAGAGAATGGAGGAGAAAGGATTGTGGCATGGTCATCCCCCTGGAGAGTGATTTCTCAAAGTCCCTCTCTGTCTCTCTCTAGCAAGAACACATGCCCTATATCAAAAACCTTTAAAAATAAAAAAGCTTAAAAAAAAAACCACATCACAGGAAAGAACAATAAAAATTGCAAGCAAAAAGCCATAGCCACATGACATTTAGCAGTATGTTTTTTTTTTAATTGAGTCTGGGACTCAAACCGCAGTCAGCTACATGGGAGTTCAGCGACACAGCCATTACTCTAACTGCTGGTCCCCATGTTGAATTTTTTAATAATAAAATAAAATAAAATAAAGCGAAAGCACAATAGGTGCTCTTGCTACCACTGTAGAGCAGGGGACATATTATGGACTAAGGGCTAGAAACACACTTTCCTTTGTACCTTCAGACAAATAATTTTGCTTCTCTAGGTCTTACTTTCCATTGACTGTAAAATGAGAGGTTTAGATCAGATCCTCCATAATGATCTCAGCCACTCTGCTCATATCTCATAATAATACAAACATATAAGAAAGTAAGTGTCAAAATAAAGTCCTTTCTGGCTAGACTGTATGCATTTCCTTTAAAAAAAAAAAAAAACCACTGGAAATCAGGACTCTGAATTTTAAAACATGGAAAATGTTTTATACTGACATATAAATGGATCATGATGGAATTCTTACTCATTTTTCCTTGAATTATTAAAATATACAACATTACACTCAATCAAATCTATAATGATACTCACCGATACTGATATGTCCTCATTTTTTCTCTTAACACTGGAGTCAAAAAGGACATTCCTCCCTCGTCTTTCACAGTCTTGATAGACAATCAGTCGAATCTGGCTTGGATCAAACTCTGGTAAAGGCCAACTAGAGAAAAAAATTTTAAAGATCTATTAGAGTTACTTTAATAAATATTCCATTTACAGTCTTAAAAATAAAACCTATAAGAACCAGTAGTTAGCATAATGGCTATGCTGCTGAACTCCCATGTAGCCGACCGCAGTTTGAGTCCTGGACCCGGTAGCTTAAACTCACACCAGGCGCGTGTGTGTGCGTGCCCAAGATCTGGAGAGGAGAAAGGAGGAGAAGGGATTGTGGCATGGCCATTCCCCCGTGGGGTGATTTCTCACTTCCTGTCTCTCTCTGTCTTTCTGGCGAGCACACGCACCCATAGCAAAAAACCTCTCCGAAAAAAGAAAAATAAATAAATAAAACCTATAGGGACCAGCAGTTAGCGTAATGGCTATGTCGCTGAACTCCCATGTCACCAACCGCGGTTTAAGTCCCAGACCCAGTGACTTAAACTCACACCAGGCAAATGTGCATGCATGCCCAAGATCCCAAGAGGAGGATGGAGGAGAAGGAATCGTGGCATGGCCATACCCCCTGGGAGGTGACTTCTTGCTTTCTATCTCTGTCTCTGTCTTTCTGGCAAGTGCACGCGCCCTATAGCAAAAAAACCCCTCTCCAAATAAATAAATAAATAAATAAATAGCTATATAAAAAAGCCAGAAGTTGTATTATTACTAAAGAATATATAGTAAACCTTGGGACCAGCAGTTAGCATAATGGCTATGTTGCTGGACTCCCACGTAGTCGACCACGGTTCGCGTCCTGGACCTGGTAGATTAAAACTCATGCCAGACGAGTGTGCGTGCGTGCCCAAGATCCCGAGAGGAGAATAGATGAGAAGGGATTACGGCATGGCCATCCCCCCTGGGGGGTGATTTCTCGCTTTCTGTCTCTCTGTCTTTCTGGGGAGCGCACACGCCGTATAGCGAAAAACTTCTCCAAAAAAAAAAGAATATATAGTAAATCTTTATATAAGAGTTCCTCCCTTAGCTACAGAAGATACGTGGATGCGCAAATAGTGCTGAACTCTATAAATACTAGGGATTTTCCTACACATACATACCTATGATGAAGTTTAAATTATAAATTAGACACAGGGAGAGATTAACCGTAATTAAAAAGGAACACTTATAGCCACTGTATTTTTCCATTTATATAGAGGTTAAAAACAATTAAAGTTTTGTTAAAGAATGATACTTAGTTTTTAAAACTATAAAGGAAACAAGTAATGGCCTAAAAAGTTTAGAGAAAGGTTACCTCTAGGAGAAACGCTGGTGCTGGGGACACAAGTAAGGGCAATGGTTATGTTCTGTTTTCAGTAGATAGTGGACTTTTACCTACAGCATGTATTTTAAAAAGCACACTATTCTGTTTTATGCACTTTCATACATGTGCTATGTTTCAGAATTTAAAAGGTTAATGGAGTGGGTGAGATAGAGAAGACAGAGAAAAAAAGAAAACAGTGACTGAATGGCAGAGAAATTAGTCTGATGAACTCAAACCCACTACAACCGACAGGACTGTAGCTCAGAAATGAGAGAACTGACATGCCAGAGGCTGTCTGTCATAAGCTACAGCAGGCTAAAAGGTCAGCTCCTCACAATCTATCATGCATGGCTCTCCATTAGCTTTTTTCATTTCCATAAGAGAAACTAAACACTAATCCCATCGATGCATATGAAACTACCTATAAGCTGGCAACATTTCACCATCTTCATCTCAAATTCTTGAAAGAAAATACAATTTTCCTTTCCTGTCTAATCTTTAGCAAGTATCTATATGTTAGAAACTAATGAAGACTTACCCCACACATTCAAGCTAAGCCAGAGTTTATCTTTAGACCATACTGATTTGTACCATATTGAACTTTTACTAAGTAGTGCTTTCATGCTATGCAAGTAAAATTATAAAAGAAGAGAGCAGCATAAGATGAAAATCAGGAAAAGTGGTCTAATGGACACCAATAATAAGAACATTTTAGAAGAAAGAAACACTATGGCAGTCACTGAAAAGAAACCACTAATTTTAGAAACAAAGAGGCCACTGGTGTCCTGGCAAGGACAATGATAGTTCTAAAGAGTACAAAGGTCAGACTGCAGAGGACTGAAGAATAAAAGGAACAGAGAAAATAGACAGGTGTTAAGAAACAGGAAAGAAAGAAAAGGAAGCATAAAGTACAGTTGAAGGTAATTTGTTATTAAGAAAGGACGCGAAGGACCAGCAGAGGGCGTAATGGTTACATCGTGGACTCCCACACAGGCAACTGTGGTTGGAGTACCAGACATGGGGGCTTAAAACTCACATGGGGTGCGTGTGTGTGCATGCCGAAGACTCTGAGAGGAGAATAGAGGAGAAGGGACTGCGGTGTGACCATCCCCCCCGGGGTGATGTCTCCTTATCTGTCTGTCTCTGTCTCTCCGGTGAGTTCGCATACCCTATAGCACAAATCTCTCTATATAAAAAAAGGAAAAAAAACTCTTGCACTGAGAAGTAAAGAACACAGGCAAAGATATACATCAGTACAGAAAGATCTGCAGATATGAAGGTAAGAGGTTGAGAGAATTCATGTCTTAAAAGCCCTATTTTCAAGCAGGTTAGGAAAAGAAGGGAAAGGTAGTAAGATGTGAGGACACTAAAAAAGGTTACAGTGGCTGTTGGGAAAGAAAATAAGATTTGGGGGCAATGCTGTATGTAAGTCTGTGAGGATGAAGCCTAAGAATATGTACTGGTCACACACTGCAGGGACTTATGTGCTTGAATTTGGATAAGAATGCACCAAACTAAAAATTTTCATGAGTAAATGGGGAAAAAAGGTGACCATGGAGATGGAGTAGAAGACAGACAAAAATGTAGTTGTAACAATGGACAGTGGAATCTAAGCTATTACAGTAAGAAATGGAGGTGGCTAGTAGATATGAAAAAGGAGGCAGTAAGGTCCAAGCGCTGAAAACTCACGAAGAGGTATAGTTAAGAGAGGAGGGAGAGACAAGGAATAGACTATAATCATAGAGTAGGATACTGCAGTTTATGAGACTCAAGGCAGAACAATTCGTTGTTCTTCCATTAGTGAAGACAAACGTCTACTACGTACATTGCTTAGAGTAAGATCAAACCTATGCTCTAGAAGAAAGAGAGAGCAGTAGCTAATTAAAGAAACAAATGAACATAATTTCAGGTAAGTGGCTGGTGAAATTAAAGAAAAAACAAACATAATATACTGTGATGGAAGTGGTAGTGAGGATTATGTACATGGCGGAATTACGTTCATTTTTGTTAAGAATTATTTTACTTAACTTTATTTTTTTATTTTAATTTGACCAGAGAGGGACAGAGAGAGAGAAAGAGAGAAAACAAGCCACCAGGTCCAGGACTCGAATTGCTGCTGGCCACGTGTGAGTCTTGCACCCTTAACCACCATGCCACCTGCCAGCAACATATTAATTTTTAAGAAGGTTTTTAAAGAGGCCAGCAGGTGATGTGGTGCTTAAGGTGCTGAACTGCCACATGGCCAGCTGCAGTTTGAGCCTTTGACCTGGAAGCTTGCATAGGCGTGTAGACACATGTGCCCAAAATCTCAGAGGAGAATGGAGGAGGATTGTGGCATGACCTTTTCCCTGGGGGATGATTTCTAACTTTCCCTCCTAATTTCTCTCTCTGTCTCTCTGGTGAGCACATGCCCTACGGTAAAAACCTTAAAAATAAATAAATAAATAAATAGATGATAGAGAGAGAGAGAGAGATAAATAGATATAAAGGTTTCCAATACAGACAAATTTTTCTAAAGGAAATAAACGCTGGGCTTCACAGGACATAGGTCTACAAATAGAGCCTGTGTAAACAGTGATGTTATCTAATTCACCAAACCTCTTTAGTCTCTAAGACACACACACACACACACAAACTCCAAATTCCTTATATTCAATGTAAAGCCCTTGATGGCCTGGCCTGGATCTGCCTTTCCAGACACATGTATCACCACACTGATCTCAAAGGTGCCAATCATATCAGACTATTTCACAGTTCGAATCTTTTCATAAGATACTTCTTTCACCTGAAATATCTTTAACTTCCTTGGCAACCTCTTTATTCACTCTTAAATACCTAGTACAAATGTTACTTCCTCTGGGAAGTTTTGACCAAATCCTCCAGTCACTGACTTCTGTAGCTAGTTAGATTCTAATTCTAAAAGTATCTTCCACATTGTCTTCTAACTTATCTGTTTACATGCTTGTTTCTTCCACTACAAAAAGAAATCCTCCCTGAGAGCAGAGCTTACTCATCTTTGAAACTCCAATCCCAAACACAGTAAATGAGTAAAACTGCTTATCTCCAAGTAAAGATAACATGACAGGTGTTAAAAATTTTGTGACTAAACTAGAGTAAACCATCATATTCCACAATCTGAAAAATAAAACAAATGAGCTTTCTTTCAAAAGTTAAACGGGGGAACCAGCAGTTAGTGTAATGGCTATGTTGCTGGACTTCCACGTAGTCTACGGCGGTTCGCATCCCGGACCCGGTAGCTTAAAACTCACGCCGGGCACGTGTGTGTACGTGCCCAAGATCCCGAGAGGAGAATGGAGGAGAAGGGATTGCGGCGTGACCATCCCCCCGGGGGGGTGATTTCTCACTTTCTGTCTCTATGTCTCTCTCTGTCTATCTGGCAAGCGCACGCGCCCTATAGTGAAAATCTCTCCAAAAGAAAAAAAAAAAAGTTAAAAGGCAGGGCCAGCAGCTGGCACGGTGGTTAAAGAGCTGAACTTCCACATAGCTAACTGTGATTCGAGTCCTAGACCTGCACTTTCTCACACTCACGTGTGCTTTCTCACACTCTATCTTTCTCTCACTCCCTCTGGTCAAAATAAAAAATAATAAATAAACTTAAATAAAATAATTATTTAAAAAAAAGTTCCATCAACTGATGACACAGAATGAACAAAACGTGGTATAACCATGGGATGGAATATCTGGCCATAAAAAGATAACATGCTACAACATGGCCAAACACAAAAAGC